GCACATTTTGTTTCAGAATGAGTCCCTCTTCTGGATGATTTCAAGTATTTGGTTTCCTACCATTTTCCAAGTTTCCAAATTCATACTTGCAAGCGAATTTGCGAATTCCCATCTTGTTCATGAAAGATGAAAAAACAATTTAATTTTTATGTTGTATGATTGAAAATATAGTCTTCAAAGTTATACTTCTGGTGTTAAGGATTTTCTTATCTGTCTTAATGTTGTTTATAAAGTAAAACAAACAAACCAATTATAAAACACAATAAATAAAATCAGGGTGTATTTAAAAAAAAACACCAACTCAAAATATTTGGTTGAATGATTATTGATCTCATTTTCTAAACTGTAAAATTTTATATACACATTTTCCATCTTTGTTAGCATTTTTGAATACCAAATAAATACTACTTGGCGTAAATAGTGCATTTACGTAATTACTACATTATTGCTGAGGTAGAAGTTTAGCCCAGGCAGAAAAAAATCTTGATATCTTAAAGGATAAAGTTCATATGCTTGTGATCCTCTCTTTCCAAAGATGTCATGGAAATAATGGAACAAAGTCAGTGTTGGACAAGGGTGTTTGGGAGTGCGCATGGATTCTTTAGTCTAATACTAGAGGTTTGGTGGGATTCGCATATTCCTGGAATTTCAGGATCCTCAAAGATCAAGAGTGAGCCAGAGAAGGATGTGGTCTGTGTATTGCTATTTACAACAAGTCATAAGGGAGGAAGGAACTGAAGACCGGTGATTTAGGAGAGATCTGCTCCTCTGTGGAAGCCTTGAGAGAAGTCCCTGATGCTTAGCTGTTTTGGATAGCCCAGTTAGTTATCTCCTCAGCATACTGGAGGACCTGCTTCCATTCTCCAGCTGCACCGAACCCAGTTACCTGACTGCTTTCAAGAGAACTTATTCTGCTGAGTTTAACTGCCTTCGCTTTGTAAGTTGGGAGATCTATATACTTGACAGTATCAAAATGACAACTATCTGTATGAAAAAGCACAATGTAAACAGAGTTGCAGATAAACATATATGAATATGTATGTGTGTCCATCTACATGTGTATGTGTGTGTATATGAATATGTCTATACGTGTGTATGATTGTATACAGGGACATATATAAGGTATGTGGGTATGTTTGTATGTGGATATGCATGCACATAGTTTTAGTCCTCTCTACTGAAAGGACAAAGGCTTCTCAATAGCAATGATTGCAATCCACCTCCCAGATTGAGGCTCTACTACCATTCAAACCTAAAAGGGACCAGGGCTCTTCTGAGTAATGCCTAATTCCAGGACTAGCACATGGTAGATAAAGACGTACCTGGAACACTTGTTATGCCTGAAAGTGAGGAGATACCCAGAAAATGATGTAGTGCAATTCTCAAGGAAATGAGATCTACTTCAAGGCTGCCAGGAGTCAAATCCAAGACAATCTGAACAATAAGACAATTCAGGGCAGTAAATGAGTTACAAATGCTTGGAAAAATAGGAATTCACAAGCCCATAATGAGGAGAGAGAAACAGAGAGAAAGACTGAGGGAGGGAAGGAAGGAGAGAGGGAGAGAGGTAGAGGAGGAAAGAGATAAAAGGTAGAAGGAAAGGAGGAAGGAAGGGACAAAAGAAGGAAGGGAGAAAGAATGAGAGGAAGGAACAAAGAAAGGGAGGAAGGAAGGGAAGGAAAGAAGGAAGGAAGGAGGGGAGGGTGGGAGGGAGGAAGTGGAATAAGAGAGGAAGTGAGGGCACTTGCTTGCAATAAAATGCCAGGGGCTGACTAGTAAATTACCATGTTTTTTCCTTTTTTCTACTAATATCGTAAATCATATTGATTGATTTGTAAAAGTTAAACCAATTTTGTGCTCCTGGGATAACACCAGTTGCATTCATTGAGATCAAGGAGTGTTTATGAATATTTCTACTTTATGGAACTTGCTGTTATTTTTTGTGTGTCCTAGTATGTAGTCAATTTTTGTGAGTATTCCAAGTTTAGTTGAGAAAAAGATATATTATCTTTTATTGGAGTATAGTATGTGATATATATCCCAAAACTTATAATTTTACATTGTGTAGATGTTTTATGTCTTTATCTTTTGACCACTCTGTTGAGTGGAGATGAGAATATGTCGAAGTCAATAATTAGTGTGATTCTATTTACTTCTCACTGCATCTCTTGTAGTCTCTGTTTTACGTAGGTAATTGCTGTGTTACTTGGTGTATAAACGTTCATAACTCTTACATCTTCATTGTAGAACATATATGGTGGCTTTAGCATTAAAATGGGTCATTTTTTTCATTTGGCTAATGTTTTTGCCTTGAATTTCACTTTTTATAACACCAAGATCTCAACTCCTACTTTCTTGTTTTTTCCATTTGCCTGGTATTTCTTTGTCTGTACATTTACTTAAGTCTGATATACTGCATTCTAGATGAGTCTTTTGTAGAGAATAGATTTGACTTACACTTCATGAGACAATCTGAAAATATTTCTTTTAATAGACAAGTAAGGCCATTCACATTTATTGGTAGCATTTATTATATGCTCAGTTTCAATTCTGCTATATTATCTGTTTTATAAATGTATATTATGTTATATTTACTATCTTTTTTCTTCACTGTATTGTTTCCATTCAATTTTTTTTACTTTATATATATATTTATTTATTTATTTTATTAAGTTATAGTCAGTTTACAATGTTGTGTCAATTTCTGGTGTACAGCACAATTTTTCAGTCATACATGTATTCATTTTCTTATTCTTTTTCACTGTGAGCTACTATAAGATCTTGTATATATTTCCCTGTGTTATACAGTATAAACTTGTTTATCTACTCTATATATACTTGTCAGTATCTACGAATCTCGAACTCCCAGTCTGTCCCTACCCACCGGCTCCATTCAATTTTTTGTGTGTGTTTAAGAAGTTTTATATTTTATATTAGTGATTAATTTTGTATTAATATTTTATAATGCCTTTAATTTTCTTCTGCATTTAACCTTTTGTTATTTTCAAGTCTGTTTTAAAGATATGCTTTGATACTCATCTAGTATCTATAGAAGATTAATATTGTTCTTTTTTTCCCATTTTCTCTCCAACTTTAAAAGTTGTATTCTTTCTACTTTGTCAGAACATGTAATGTTTAGAAATTATTCTCTACCGTGACTCAAGTGTGGTTTAAGTTTTATCTTTTCAACTGAATATTTGAAATGCTACCAGTCTCTTTGCAGTCTACTTTGGTCGGGTGTAACTCACCCACGAGCAGACATTGACAGGATTCCCTTTCCAAGCTGTGCTTCTCCAGCCTTGATATGTGAAGGCAGCTTGTTTGGACATAATATCTGTGGTTTGCATTTTCTTTCCTTACATCTCTTGAAATGCAGCCCTACTGTTGTCTTCCTTCCTTTGTTTTCGAGAAACCTAGAAGCTGATCTAACTCTCTTGTCTTATAATTTAATTCCCCAAAACATACTCCTCAGAAACAAGCCCTGGGGATTGTGCTCTTCACATTTAACATTTAATAATTTTACCAAATCATGTTTGGGAATTGGTCATTCCCTGTCTGTTCCCCAGTCTTAATACTCTGTACTTGGAATACAAAGATTTAGATGTTCTTTTGTTTCTGAAACCTTGCCTCATGTTAAAATTTCACGTATTATTCCTATCATATTGTTTTAATTTTCTTCCTTAGGGACACTAGTTATACGCATGTTGAATATTATTTGACATTTTCCTTTTTAACCAAGTTTCATCTGACATTGCTTTCTTTTCGATGCCTTTTATTTCTTTGTCTCATATCATGTGCTTTGTTATTTTTCTGCTTTTTTCCAATGACTTTTAACTTTATTAAATTTTTATTAGAATCTATTCTGCCTTGTCCTCACCTTGTAATTTATTATGCATTTATGACTTTTTTCATATTCCTCTATTTCTTTTCTGAATTCAATCAATTCTCATATCATTTCTTTCTGTTTTTAATCTGTATCTCCTCTTAATATTTTTTATTTCTGATGCAAGATACATTTTTATATTCTTAAATATCTGTATGATAATATGGAGTTAAATTTGAAGTGTCATGTTACCATATTCTTCAGTTCCATAATCTTTTGGGGGGGGTGGGAGGGAGGACTTTCGATAACAGAAATGCTTTGATGTGTATTTTCTGATTATCTACCATAGTGTCATGTGAACGTGGCTTGCTTTTTCACGTTTCTATTCATTTCGTGGCTAGGTTTTTAGTTTGAGAGCACCGTTTTCTGTCAGTACAGCACCCATTTGTTGTGGGTTTTGGGGGGTTTCTTTTTGTTTTTTTTAATGAGGAGGACAGGATGTGTCTTTTTCTTAGTTTCCCTAAGATTCTTAAGTTTTCTCTTGTATCACAGCCTTGTCTCCAAGGACTGTGAGATTTTTCCATATATCTGATTCTACCCCAGAAACAGAGCTGCCTTTCCAGTTACGCACACTTTCAAGCCACTCTTCTGTAGCCAGTGCTGTGAACCACCAAATTATGACCTGATTGTTTCGGCACTTGATGTTGACCTTTCTGTTGATGGAGATGACTTTGTTTTTGTTTCATATAATCCCTTTACTGCACTCTATCCCTTTTTATGGAGTTTCTTAAACCACTCTTCCTCTACTCTCCTTACTGCAGAATTAGCAGCAGGAGGACAGCAGGCGCTTTGTT